AAATATATCTGGCAGAGTAGTCTTTAGATTCTCTTAATTTCTGTTGGCTTTGCAATCAGTGGGATTTTTCCCGTGTAAATGCTTTTGCCACATACCTCAATCATAATTTATCCATCTTATGGTCCTTGGTACCTCATCCTCGGGTTCTGGCTGTTGATGCCTTCAGCCAGGATTGGTCCCTTTATGTTTATTACTTCAACGGGTGATCTCTCTCTCATCCATACCACTCCGTATCGAGTCTTTCTTATAGGTTCTTACTGGCCAGCTCTACCATGGTTTCCATAATTACAACAACTGAAAATTTCCCTACAGTATCTCTTCCTTTTTATCTCTCCCTTCTTCATCAACCTTGGTCATTGGTTCTACATCTAGCCATTCATGTCCTTTATCTTCATGTCATGCTTTTATCTGGTCCTTGGCAAGGAGATCAAGTTTCTCCTGTTGAGTAGCTTTCCTTTTAGCTCATTCCAAACGTTTTTCTTCAATGGAGGCGTATCAGTGCAAATGGAAAGTGTTCTGCAGTTGGTCTGCGACTCGGGGATTCCCTACTGACCAACACACTGTGGCTCAAATGGTGGTGTTTCTCACATGGCTTTTCGACTGGGAGTTTTTGGTCTCCTTGCTCTTGGGTTATTGGGCTGCCTTATCTCAGACCTTTTGTTTTTCAGATACCATCCTTACCCTGTTAATGTGTTCCTTCTGAATTCGTTGTCCTCCCCAGATGGCCTACTTTTTCAGACTGGGATATTAATGTAGTCCTCCATTTCCTCACTTTACTTCCATGTGAACCACTTTTCTCATGCTTCATGTTTCACTTTCCCCTTAAAATGTATTTCCTTCTCTTCTTAGCCTGTGAACATTGAAGGTCTAATTTGTTTGCCACTGATGTTTCATGTACACTTTTTCACCCTACGTATCTTCTTTATCCGGATTGTTCCTTCCTCCCAAAGACTTCTATGTTTGGTCTGTACTCTTCGTTGTCATATTGCCCACCCGGCTTTCTTCTGTGGAATTTTTTCTCGACTCTTTATCCCTTGACAGACTTTCTCTGTTTGGGATCTTTCCCAAACAACCCTCATCAATTGGGTTCGACTTTCGATTTGATTGGCTTATTTCTCCTGGAATTTGTTCCAGGTGTCTTTTCATCAGATTCGACACCTCACCTTTTCCCTTGCATCTCATCTTCGTCAGCATTTGGAGGAAATCCTACAGTTGGGTATGTGGACTACTACTAATGCGTTTGTCTCCCATTACTTACACGATATCACGGTTTCTTCTTTGTTGAGTTTTCATTATCCACCTGTGGCCATTCTTCAGGCTTCAGTGTGCTTTGACTGAGTAAGTTTATATTCATACTTTCCTTTTCCTTTCAGGAGGCCTTGCTTCATTTACTCACTATATGGATCCATCTGTGTGGCGAGTAGTGCCTGACCAGGTATTTTTCAACTTGAGATCTGAATGTTGACTCTCACTTTATCTTCCATAGCTTCACAATGCTCACTGTTGAGATAGGGTGTTTCACAAGATTCTTTGTAGGTGAATAACCTTGTGGTGTAATTGCTTCATGAACTTGCCTGTTCCGGACCATACCACCCATGGACTGCATGGGTAAAGCAGAAGAGGGATAGCTACCCATCTCTGGTATACCTTGTGTTGAATAAATTGGTATGGTCTGCTTTTAAAAATAAGGTTTCGTTTCACTGTCTCAGGTTTTGATGTTCCTGCAGACTCTCCACATACTATCCTTCAATATGCAATACACACTCACAAAGGAGGGGGACGTCAAATTGCAGTTCACCTTTTCAATTGGGAGCCCTCATCCTACCTTTGCATGGATGTCAGTACCCCATGGCTGGATTTTGGATTTAGAGTAGAACCAATAAACATAAGTCCTCACACATGTTTATGGTTGTCTTTATTCCTCCCTTGATTACACTCCTTCTGTATTGTGGGTTACAGTAGAGGTAAGGGGATTATTCTGGTTCTGTCCTTTTTGCTATCCCTCGTTGTATCTTATCCTGAGAATGTTATTGCTTTTTGGGTGGTTCCGGTCAATTTCACCGTTGGGGGAGTTGATTTATGTTACATAGACATCATTTTGATACCGGATGTCGGGTCCACGGATCGATAGATCAAAGCTAATACATGTCATGCTCAGGAGTCGGAGAGATTCTAGATTCTTCCCAGTCTCTTGAAGTTGAGGTGAAGACAGTATGATATTCATCCTACTCTCACATGGATGACCGTTCCCAGTGGCATGGGTTTTGAATGTAGTTGACTTACCAAGTACATTTCGTCGCACCCCTTTGGAGGATACCTGTGCAATGGCAAAATGATCATTTGAGATAGACTTTGGTAGGTATCACAAGCTAACTAATGGTAAATTTTTTAATCTTACTGAATTGACCAAGTGTCTGTTTGATGACCTGTCTTCTAGGATACTATCTTTGAGGAGTACCTTTGTAAGGTCTCAGCAAACAATTGTTTGAGGGTTTTCCTCATTCAGCTCTGTACTGATTATCTAATAGGATTTTGTCTAGAATCTTCACTTTGAAAAATACATTTGTTCTAGAGAAAGCAATATGTTCGACTTGTTCTGCTATGGTATATCTTGTATGTGGATATATTAGTTACCAAGAATTGATAATTTTGTTGCCATCCTAGTTTTAGTATGGCAGGTATATGAACATTTACTAGGAAAATGTCATTCCTAAACTA